GCTCCTCTGATGCTGCCTGGCCTGCTGTGTTCCTCCAGCTGCACACTGTAATTTCATAATCTTGTACATCTCCAGCATATTTCCCTTCAGTCTCCTCTGCTGCAAGTAAAACAACACAAGCTTCTCCGATCTACCTTGTAATTTTCACTGCCTCGACATTCAGCTGTTCCAATGCACTCCTCACCTCCTTCTCATCTTCATAAATTTGAACACATTGGTAACTGTGGTGTATTCCAAACTCTCAAGTTCTATTTACTCATTCCTTACCCATAACTCACTAAACTGTGGTGCCCAAATACTTTGATTTTAAGATTCTCATCTTAGTTGTGTTAAAAATGCAATTGGAATTTCCATCTGAAATCATTATCAGCCCTGTTGGCCATATCCTGTCCCCCTGTATAATTTCCTTGAGCCCTTCAATGGTCCAAGAACTGTGAGCCCCTCTAGTTGCAGGCTGTTGCGCATCCCTCTTATCCTTCATTCCATCAATGGCACTTTAAGTTGTTCTGTCGCTAAGCTCGAGAAATCTATTTCTAAGTCTATCCACTTTACATTTTAAGATGTGTAGTTTAACCTATCCTATTGACCAATCTTTTATCCATCCATTTTTAGATTTGTTTAACTTACTCTACTCCTGAAACACCTTTAAATACACATTGTTATGCAAGATATAGATAACAGGATAGGTTAAATAACATCATCTTGGTCTCACATTTTGATATTCTTCTTTGCTTTTTTTTTGCATTAGTCTGTTAGAACATGATAGTTGGTTGAATGCTAAGTTCAGAACAGTTACTGAAGTGGATCCAAGTCCATTGGGAGCAATACTGCACAGCAATGATGAAGTTCAAACTCACCCTTTCTGGTGACGTTTCAATTAATCAGTCCGGTCCACTTAAAATAAGCTAAACACAGAATTTCTTAACGTGTACTGGTTGTTTCAGTTCACTGGGAAATGTCTTCAACTGTGTGAATGATTAATTAAGAATCACATATTATTGAGGTTTTAATTATGTGTACTGTTGAATATGTTGTCTGGAGAATCAAAAGAGTAGATGGAGAAAAGGAACTTATGTAGTTTGTTTTATAGCATGTGTAAGTGGATTAGAAGTTGTGAGATTTATAAACTTTTGATGTGGGCTCAGGCATCTTCATATTTCCTACCCTGAAAATCTCAGACCTGATAGCTGAATGGATAAGCCCTGAAATTTCACTGTAATTTTTCTTGTATTCCACAGTAACTTCGCTGTCAGAGTTATAGAGTCGTACAGCATGGAAACAGACCCTTCGGTCCAACTAGTCCATGCTGACCATGTTCCCAAACTAAACTAGTTCCACTTGTCTGTGCTTGGCCCATATCCCTCCAAACCTTTCCTATTCATGTACTTGTCCAAATGTCTTTTAAATGTTGTAAATGTACCTGCATCCACCACTTCCTCTGGCAGTTCATTTCACACACAAACAACTTCGTTCAAAAAAAAAGTTGCCCCTCAAATCCTTTTTAAAACTTTCTCCTCTCGCCTTAAAAATATGCCCCCTGCTTTTAAACTCATCTTATCCATGCCCCTCATGATTTTATAAAGCTTTATAAAGTCACCTCTCAATATCCTGATCTCCAGTGGAGAAAGGCTGCATAGGCTTGGACCTATCTTTATAGCTTAAACACTCCATTCCTGACAAAATCCTGGTAAATCTTTTCTGAACCCTGTCCAATTTAAAAATACCCTTCCCAAAGCAGGGCAACCAGAACTGGAAACCTTGCAGACTCCTTCAGTGAAACTGTGTAAATATTCACTTATATTTTTTAAAATTTCAAGTTCTGCTACTGTGTAGCGAAGTCACAGTTCGAGATTGAGGAACACAGTCATGGAATTTCAAAACCTTAACTTCCTGAATTACTGTATCTCAATTCTCAAAGGAAAAAATAGCTATCCATTTCAATTTTAACAACTTGCAGGTAGCTTTATTTATCTGTTGATTAAATATATCTTGGTCATTAGGTTTTCTTTCAAAGAGACTACTTGCATGATTTTCTAGATGACTGCATAATTTAAAATGCTAATCTGTCCATATTTATAAATTATTCGTTTTTTTTCATAGAACCTTAGAGGAAAATGTGTACAAAATATCTCTGTCTTTGGCACATCGTTACAATATCCCACTCTGGGAAGTTTACATGACACATCTGGAATTCCTTTTCACTGATAGTGGGTAAGTATCCTAGTTAATGGGTCATTGTACAAACATGAGCATGAATATTATCATTTTTACATCATTGTTCTGTATACTTCTCGGTGCTGACTTTTCATTCTTACTGTAACATACAGCAGCAATTGAAAACAATCAATCTGTTTTTGGTAATATAGTTCAAGAGAGGGATTCTATGAAAAAGACAATATACTCATTTTAATCCTGGATTTGAGAGATATGCAGATACATTGTAATAGAGAGGAGCAAGTTCTGTCAAAGATATTGTTTTAAAATTAATTTCACAGTTGCTGAGGGGATATAAACAATGTAGGGCATATTATATGTTATTGTAAATCAGAGACTGTTTTTAGTGATAGCGTACCATGTTTTTGTTTCAACTAAGCCAAAAATATTCATTACTGAAACCTTTTTGACACATTACGTTTCCTAGACATTGCAGCGAATCTCCTTCTTAAAATTTTCCCGTTTTAATCAAGCTCATTTTGCTTTAACAGAGGTGCAGAATTTATATAATCTTTCTAGATTCTAATATCATCCTGTTTTCAGAAGTCTAGAGATGGACAAAAAGTTCTGAACAAGAACATCAGGACAATATGTTAAGCAGCAAAGGATATATTTTAAAACCTAAAGCTAGTTATCACCCTTGTTCGGATGGTTCTTTCTTCCCACCCAACCTTGAGTGGCACAGACAACTTTGTAGCGCTTTACCTGAACACTGTCCAGAGATCTTCCCTAAATCCATTCTTTTTATCCCCTGTAGCTGCGTTCTGATATTGATGTCATGTTTTGATCTTGTTATTTCTTCTTTCAATACATCAACTCATAATCACAGCCCACACAGATTATCATTTACATACAAGCAGCCCATTGTTAACTTCTTGTTGGATGACTATTTGTCAGACCGATGACCCCAACATTCATTTAATTAGAACACTAAAGTCAATTGATACATTTCAAAGCATATCCTTTGATTACAGCTGGTAAAATTGTTTGAACATCTGTCTTACGTTTTCCCTATTCACATTATTAATTCACACCATCAGCCTGTTACAATATGACTCCAATCTAACTCAAATCGCACAGGCAATATCTTCTCACATATCTAAACTTCACCCTTCATCTACCAGGAATGTTCAATCTATGCAAAATATATGTAAAAACAAACGCGCAACATAAAATTATAAAAATTCAAAGACTTTTAAAAATTCACCTGTCTACCTTGTCTCGGTAAAGTAATATTCCATAATTATGAGTTAATCAAAGGACAGAAATTACCATTGAGTTTATTTCCATTACGTAGTGAAAATGTATTCAAAGTCATTGGATTAAGAAATGGAGTTTACAGTTATGGAGCATGAACGTTACAAAAAAGAATTTCAAGTAAGCCTGATGATTAAGAGTCTCTGAGCCATGCAGATGACAAAGGTCATCACTTTGCTTTTTGTTCTCTGCTGTGAGAAAATCTCATCCCAGGCAACAGTAAGATTGCAATGCTTGACCATAGATTTCTGGACAGACTTCCTGATCTTGATGCTATGTTGAGCAAAAAAAGAGCTTGCTTATGATGTTTATGGGCTGTCACTGCCATATTTCACATTAGAACTAAGACCAGTTGGTTGATGTACCGGGGGGACTAATGCTCATGAAACCAAACAATGGGGTACTGTCTCCAGTAAAGGGAGGAGGAGGAGAAACAGGAATTTCTACGATTGGGGGAATCTATGTTAGATTTTCAAAAAGATTTGTTCAATGCAGAAAGAATAAATTTGACTTAGATCTGCTTATATAAATAATTCTACGCGTGGATTTTTTTAGAAAGACACAATGCTCAAAAATCTTAGCGCAGTCAAAGAAAGATTGCCTTCAGGTGTGAGGCAGAAAAAAAATCAAATGCAGTGTTATTTATTCATTAGAGTGAGTTGGGTGATGTTCTAAGTTTCTGTAAATATACCTCGTGATTCTAAAGAGAATATAATTTGCTGATTGGTTCTACAGTCTTGTGTATTTTATCTGTTTCCAGAGACACTGATTTTTAAAAAAAGGCAGTCATCATATTTTCAGGAATGTTTGTATCTTTTGAATCTCCTTAAGGCACCATTGTTAAAAGACATTCATCTTTGTGACTTATATTAGCAGCTGTTTTCTTTAGTTGTTTTGAACTTACATTTTGCTAATTGAATAATCTCTTTACCCTTTCCAATTCAATGTCTCCTTGTGTAGTTGCAAGTGTGTCTTTGTTGCGCAGTATTCACCCATCTCACCCTATACTGAGAGTGTTGAAATGATCTGCGCTTGTGGTTTAACTTTACAACAGTATTATTGCTGTCCTTACAAAATCAGACCCCTCAAACAGAGGAGTGGGGAAAATACAATACCATTATTTACCATTATTTAAAGCCATGAAAGCGTTAAATCTTAATATGGTTACAGTCAGTTGGTGAGAACAAGGCGTGAGATTTGTTTTAAAACTTGTAATCTGTTCATAACACCAATTACATAGCACGACTTTTTTTTGACAAGTTTAAGCATTTCTATAAGGCTTCAAAGATGATGAGCAAAGGCTAAAAACTGTCCTAAGGAAGTCCTAAAGAAGTGAGTTTCCAGCTTTTAATACTGACAGATAGACTTTCCTTCAGGCCAGAGGAAGATTTGGCTTTGGAAATAATCAGTCCAAACAGGTTGGGAGTGGGAATGTTGCTTGTATTTCACAGAAGTTTTTCATTGGCCATGCATTTATAATTTTGCTAATTAAATTTAAAGCTGTAATATAATATAAATTAACTTGGTTAGGAATTTTATATAATTATGCATAGAGATTGCAACACAGAAACAGACCCTTTGGACCAACTTGCCCACGCCGACCAAGTTTCCCAAACTACACTAATCCCATTTGCCTGCATTTGGCCCATCGCCCTCTAATCCTTTCCTATTCATGTTCCTGTCTAAATGTCTTCTAAATATTGTAACTGTACCTGCATCTACCTCTTCCTTTGGCAATTCATCCCACATACAAACCACCCTCTGTGTGAAAAAGTTACCCCACAGGTCCCTTTCAAATCTTTCTCCTCTCACTTTAAAATTATGCCCTCTAGATTTGAACTCACATACCCTAAGAAAGGACCTTTGCTATTCACCATATCTGTGCCCCTCATGATTTTATGAACCTCATAAGATCACCCCCCAACCTCCTATGTTCCAGTAAATAAAAGTCCCAGCCTCTCCTTATAACCCAAGCCCTCCAGTCCAGTAACATGCTTGTAAATCTTTTCTGCACCCTCTCCAATTTAGTAACATCCTTCCTATGCAGGGTGACCAGTACTGTGCTCAATACTCCAAAAATAGCTTCACCAACAACCTGTACAATGTCAACATGACGTCCCAACTCTTATTATACTCAATGGTCTGAGCAATGAAAGCAAGCGTGAAGATGAAAAGGAATACTAAGTTACCTAATTTTCAGAATGAGTTGCTTTTAGTACTGACAACAGCAATAGTGAAATACTGCAATAAATATAAAAGTGCTGGAGAAACTCAGCAGGAGTGGCACCGTCTGTGGAGACAGAAAAAAAGTTAATGTTTCAAGTCCAGTATGACTTTTCTTCAGAACCCTTCCAACAAATGCTGCCGGACCTGCTGAGTTTCTCAAGCACTTATTGTTTTTAATTCAGATTTCCAGCACCTGCAGGATTTTGCTTTTATTTGAGTGAGAAGCTCTTGTACATCTTTGGACAAACTCCTATGTTTGTCAAGTACTTGGGTGATACAAAACATATGAAGCTCAATCACTGGAACTGTTTCAGAATTTCAAACATATATGACTTTTCTTTTAAATTTCAGGCTGTCAACGACAGAAATTGAAAACAGAGTCCGAAATCTTGATCTTTTTGATGTCCTGAAAACCGACCAAGAAGCTTTTCATGAGCACATGACAAAATACGTTTATCCTGGCATTGATGGTGTGGATCATGTCCGATTGCTTTATTATTATACTCTGCTGGAAAACTGCGGCTGTGCTGAATTTGTGAAAAAACCCATCAAACCAGACACTAACATAAAACTTCTAAAAAAGCTCAAGGTCATTACACCAGGTATGATGGTCAATAGTTTAAAGGCTAATTCTTTTTATAAGACTTGCGTACTTCAACTGCATTAATAATAATAATATAGTTGCAAGATTTTTTTTGCCAAACTCTAAACGGTGCATTCCATCTCACAAGACAACAATTTGTGCCGTGATGCTCAAGTTTGTGTTGGCCATTGCCTCGTGGTGCTCAGGAACCCCTCACTTGTTTGTGCACTCTGTCACATTTGCTGCAGATGAAGACTGTGGACTGAGAACGTGTACAATTCCCGAGCCTTTTTCTTTCTCTTGGCTTGCTTCTCCGCCAGCTCAGCTTTTTTTTTTTGCTGCTCACCTCTTCTAAAGCCCTTCCGGTCAGCTTCCAGATCTTAAGGCTGTCAGTGACTATCTCGTAGATGTCAGTGTCACCGTCCGTTATCTTAACACCTCTCTCTTAGATGTCCTTGTAGCAGACGTGTGAAAGCCCAGGGGTTTGTGCGTTAGTGGCTTGTTTGCAGCACAGAAGGTTTATGGATGTAATTTACCTGAGGAACATGGACAAGCCAGTTGTTTTGTTCGCTTGCTTAGTGCGATGGATTCTATCCACTTACTGAGAAGAGACTGTGAACTCCAAGCACTAATTGATTGTGTCAGCACTTCAGAATTCAGGGGTTTCCGACTTGAGTTGGGCCAGTGGCTAACCAGTGAGACATGACGGACTCATTAGAAAATCGACTGTCCTATCCAGGACAGAAACCTCGGCAAAATGTATAAAGTGTTTGGACTGTCCAAACGTCAGAATCACACACTAAACTCCCCAGTTGAATCCAGAACAATGCAGAGCATGATGTTGCACTGTTTGGTTGTAGGTGTCTCTGGAAAGATGAGATATTTAGACATCAATCTACCTTTGGGCTACGCTCAAGGTTTACTCGTTTAACCTTCAGTTCTCCCAAGGTATCTATAAGGAAGTAGAGCTATTCACCCCTAATTAAGAGTTAATTTCATGAATGTCAGGATGTGTCACTTGTCAATATATATGCATATTACATGGAATGCCAGGGATGGGACACCCTCCTTGAGTTCCTCTGAAGCCTTAGCCTTAAACTGTGAAGAATCCAGGTTCCACCTGTCATGACAGAGAGGCATAGCTCAATGAGATGGTGATGGGATTATTAAAATTTCGTTACGGCAGCAGATGCCAAATTGGGAAGACAATATAAATAAAACAAGCAAGCATAATTCATGACAGTAATGGGCTGGACATTCAAAAAAACAAAATAGAGTGTAAATAGAGGATTATGCAGTAATAATTTTGGCATATAAATAATTACAGGAAGTATACAATATAATTCTGAAAAATTTTATTTGGTCAACGTATGGTGGATTGTTACATTCCAAAAGGATGTGGAACATGGATTTTTAGAGATTTCGAATCTTATGTAAGGTTGCTGCTGGTAGAATTTTTTTGTGCATTTCAAATTCAACTGTTATCAATCGGGTGGTAAGTGTATAATCTATTTTGCATTAAGCAAATTCAGATATCATCTAACCTTCTACTTTTATTTCTGCAGCATATTTTAGCCCATATTTAAGTTTGTTCTTCCCCACTGGATTTCACTTTACCTATCTCTGTCATGCCCTCCATCCCAGTCCAGTCACATACTTAATGTTGTATTTATTAAAATAAAGAAATACTCTTTCAGGTAGTTTACGTTAATGGCTGAACAGTACTTTAAACAGATTAAAACTAACAATACGAATCACCACGTTACAAAATAATTGGTGGAATGAAGTTGGGCGTTAGAAGATAGTTCATTGGCATTTCTACCTGGCTGTAAGGCACATGATTACTTCACGGAGACAAACTTTGAGGGGCTAACAGGCCTTAGAAAACCGTTGTGGTGACAGCCTAAAGACTTTTCTTAAGAAATCCCTAAACACCTCAGACAAGATCAGTCTGCAATAGTCTGAAAGAGAGCTACAGGGAAGGATACAGGTGGCTAGTCCCTCACTTTAACCATCGAAAATGTTGACCTTCTTGGTCACCACACCAAAATGTGGGTGGGAACTTGCACTCAAATTGAAGAGTCTGCATTTGTGAGGATTTAAACAAACTGGAAGATTCAGCCAACTTTAGGTAAAAAGAGTGAGATCTCTAGAGTAACCCTCACTATAAGAATCAGTTTGGGAATTAAGTGTTACCACCTAGAAAGATATAAAACAAGCCTTTGAGAACTGAGAACTGCTTTGTACTAGTTTCTGGAGATTGAAATGCCCACAGAAGAGATCAATTCAACTGTGGAGGGAGATTTCTGTCAGTTTTAAGGTAAAAGTTAAATAGGAATTTTTTTTTTCTGGCATTTAGATTGTAAGTTTCCAACTGAGAATTAGATAGTATTATGTTTGGTTTGTTCATTACAGTAGAAGTCTTAAAAATTTGAAATCTTGTTATTTGATCTGTTTAGTCAATGAATGGGAATTGAAATATTTTTCTAAAAGTTATTGGTCTCAATTGTATCTCACGTCAATTATAACTTTTCTTTTGTTACTTTGGTCACTTAAAACAATCGATCAATTCAAAATTTGATGTTGCAGGTAATTTGTTGCTAATTGTAGTTACACTTGCGCACTGACTTTATTTTCTTTTTTTCTGTATTAGACCTTAATT